GCTTGGGCAGGGAGCCGGCCACCAGCGGGTAGACCAGGTCCAGGCGGCGGCGCACTCGGCGCTGGCGCTGGGTCTGCCGGTTGATCTGGCCCATGGTGCCGAAGTCGACGACGTAGCCGAAGCCGATGGGCGTGAGGTCCACCCAGGGCCGCTGCGCCTCATAGGCCTGCTGGATGGCGATCCCCACCTCTGTGTCGTAGGGCGTCCAGGAGCCGCTGTCGTTCTCCCACTCCCACACCACGCCCTGCCCGGGCGCCGAGGACGGGTCGTAGTAGTTGCGGCGAACTGGGCGCAGGGTCCCTGCCAGGAGGACAGAGGAAGTCAGGTGGATCCCACGGCCCAGGCCAATGCACCGCCTGCAGAGGAGTCCACGGTGGGCTGCACCCTGCAGCCTACCGAGGGCCACGTGGAGCTAGACTCACTCCTGCCTTTCACGAATGCAACACTGGGGTGGAAGCCAGTCTTCCTGCTGAGCTACGCCCCCAGCCCTGTTCAATTTTTTCTTTTTTGAGACAGGGTATCACTAAGTCATTTGGCTGCCCAGGCTGGGTCTAAACATGGAAAACCCCCCCCCCCCGCCTCAGCCTCTCCCAGTGCTGGGGTGACAGGCGTGGGCCACCTTGCCAGCTCCATCCGGCCTTTAAGGACTCTTACAATCCAACCAGGCTGGAAGCAGAGAAATCAGCATGAAGCCGGCAGGAGGAAGTACCAGATGGCAGAGGGGGTGCCCTTGGCTTCCAGTTGGGACGGAATGGCTTGCAAACAAATTAATTCACTTAGGAGTTGATAAAGAAGCCCGGCCAGCTGTCCTGCCTGGGAAACAGGGTAATCAGTGCTTTCCCAGGGTTTCTGTAAAGCTGGGACGTGACTCATTTGTTCAAGTCAGAGAGTGTCTGTACCCAGCAGGGACCAGATTCCACACGCATGCCCCACGACACACACTGGGGCACGTCAGGCCCCACCCCTCCTGTCCCCCTCGCCCCTGCCTCTGGGCCATGGAGAACACAGGGCCTGGAGAGGCGAGAGGGACAGCGCTGCTTCCAGCTCGGAGGCTTGGAGCCAGCCATGGCTTTTCATGGCATAACTTTTTCAAGTTGCATTTCTGTGAGGCGGGAAGTCGCGTGGAAGGACTCTCACACAAGTCCCGAAATTCAACCTTACACCCACAACAGCAGTGTGCCCAGGGGGCACAAGGGTCACTCGGTAATGATCCTGGTCCTTCTCACAAAAGCTTCGACCCTCCTGACAAGTGTGGTGGTACTGGGACAGTCTCACCCTGGGTGAGGAGGAGGCTGGGCCTAACGCACAGCGGACTGGGAGGAACCGAGTTTGCTTTCTTTCTGCACTGCACACCCCACATCTGGACCCAGACCTGTCCCCAGTTAGGGCTCATTTCCCACAGGGCTCCGGCTGAAGTCAGGGCGAGGAGGAGGCGGGAGGGCTTCTGGGTGCTGGCATCTCGGTTCTGACAGCCAATTCACACCCCTGAAGTGGTGGGAAAAGGCTCCCCTCCCCAGCCTCTGACCCACCCCGTTCTGCAGCTCAGTGGAGACACCAAGACAGGGGACAGAATCCCATTCAAGGGAGGAAGAAAGGAACAATGGCTATTCAGGCTTCTGCCAGGGTCATAACCCACTCCCCAAGCCATCTCCAAGCCCCCTAATGACCCAAAACATTGGCATTCAGAGGCACCAGAGAGACCAGAACAATCCCCTATTCAAGACCAGGGCCTCCGCTGGGAGGGTCTCGGGCAGGAGGAGGGCAGCGCAGTGGTCCCCTGGTCAGCCTCACTTCCTTCCTAAGAGCCAGCTTGCTGGGGAACAAAGACCAGGGCTGTGGCTGTACAGGGGAGGTTCCGACCCTCCAGCTCTGCCGCTCGGCCTCAGTTTCCTCAGTGCTCCTCCCGGTGGCCACTCCACAGGAGGGTCAGAGGAAGAAGGGCATACAGAGGTCCAACGTCGAACCCGTCACAGGGCAAGACGTCGATAAAACGGGTACTGTGGTTGTCACCTACGTTCTATCACACGGAGAAGCTACTGGGCAAGCACAGCTGAGAGGGTGTAGGGCATGTCCGAGGGGGGCAGAAGAGGAGGGAGGGAGACAGAGAGACAGAGTCCAGGAGAAGCGGAGACTATAGTTATATTTGCACGATCTTACAAACTTCGTTACACACAAAACCTTCACATATGTCACACCGTATCATCTTCACAGGGATTCTACAAAGCACCTTCCTCCTGGCCCCGAGGCGCCTGTCTCAGTCACGCCCTCCCCTGCAGGCTCAGCCTCCGGCCCGCTCTCCCCTGCCCACCAGGTCCCTTCCACGGAAATGCCTCTTTGCCTTGTGTTCGCTTCCTCCTTTCCTTTCTTCCGTCCCTCTCTCCTTCCTGCTACCCTTTCCTTTTTCTGTGGGATTGAACTGAGGGCCTCCATGCTGACCTACATTCCCATCTCCCCATTTTAAAAATTTTATTTGAGATGCTGGCTCAAACTTGTCACCCTCCGGCCTCAGCCTTCCAGAGAGCTAGGACTGCTGGGGTGGCCGCCACGCCCAGCTCTCTGCCATTTCTGCTCCCCAAAACTCTCCTTATCCTTTAGGTCCTATACCATTTCCCGGTCACTTCTTGAAATGGTCCCCCAGCTCAGCCCCATGGCCCGGAAGTCTGAGGTGCAGAGACCTTGATGACTGGACACACGGGATTCTCACATTTTCGTGGGCGCTCAGTGGGGACAGAGACTCCTGAGAGGCTCTTTGTACTGTGGAGCCCAGTGCAATGCCTAGCAGTTGCAAACTGCCCCACAAACTGCCCTGGGACTGACTGCAGACGCTGGCTATCTGTCATTTAATCATGATTGCATATTGCTGAGCACCCATTAGTTGCTACGGAGAAGGCAAAACTTAAGCATTCCACAGGCTGGGCAGGACCACGACCACACAGGGTTAGAAGGCAAGTGTGTGAGCGGCTGTTCTGGATGCATGATGTGCCACGATGCACGCTGGTGGGAAATCTGACCGCATCCCCTCTGTGCTAAATCCCTCCACCCCCTCAGCCTCCCCAGCCCCCACTGGACTGCCCTGCCCACGCCGAATTCCTGTCCCTCATTTTCACAGCACTTCCTTGACTTATGTATCTCGCATCTCCTTTGATGACTATCTGCCTCCTTCCCTAGGGCCCCAGTCCCATGAAATGTCAGCCATGTCATCTGGGCTCAACAGTCACGGGTGGAACAAGCGAAGTCAGGATGGTCTGGAGAACATTGAAGGGCTCGGTGACAAAGCACACTCCGGGAAATTCTAAGGCAACTTGTAGGGAGACAAAATTCCCTCACAAGGAGACAAGAAGGCAAGAGAGGGGCCGTCCCTAGGCGGGCAGCTTGCAGCTCTGTTCTGTTGGAGGGAAGCCTCTGGTTCCCAGCTTTGAACTGCGGCTTCGGGATGGCGGTTGTTGAATTAAATATCGCCAGGGTTTGGCCGAAGTTGCCTGGGACCTGGTGGCTTCAAGTCCCTACCCTGTCACAGTGTCATCAGTGAGCTGAAAAGAGAGGAGCTGCGTGGGCCTCGGGGAAAGAGGGGAAGGGGCTCAGAGCTCCAGAGCCGCGCCCTGCTCTGACGGGTTCCCTGACCGGGCTTCCTGGGAATGTGGCCCAGAGCCCTCAGAGCGCGCCCGGGGCTTGGCCCTCAGGAGGGGTCAGTCTGCCCGCAGGAAGCCAGAGCAGCTGGGGTAGGAAGCACCGGGCCGCCGGTCTTGCAGAGATCCAGGGGTGGTCCCCACCTCAGGTCTAAACACGGAACCGCTAGCCCGCGGGCCAGAGCTGTCCTGCCTTAGCTTGCACCAGCCCGGGCTCCTCCACAACTTTCCTAGCCAAAAGCACCCTCTCAGATGGCGAGAGACCCCTCCCAGGCACCTTGCCCAGCCTGGGTCCCCCAACGCCGAGGAGACCTGCGTCCTTCCGAAAGGGGGCGAGGCGCTGGGACCTGCGCGTAACCAGGCGGTTTCTCCGTGCGGGGGGAGATTTCGTCTGAAATGGAAGGGCCAACGCCGGCTATTTTACTCAGAGCAGGGCAGGGGTCCCCGTCAGGTGGCCTCAGACCTGGCCCCACCCAGGCTCGGAGAAGCTCCTGAAGGAGCCATCCCCGCCGCCCGCAGCTCCACGCCCCGCAGCAGGCAGCAGTTAGTTCCCTTCTTCCGCCCCTCGGCCCCTCTTGAGCCTCTGCACCGGCGCCACGCACTCCTCCCCGCCGGCCCAGCGCAGGCCCGCCAGCGGCGACAACTCCTGGAGCCTTTCC